AGTGTTAGTGTGAGTATTTTTGTTCTGATAGATTTTGCACTTTGCCCAAGGTGGAAATTTGTTATGTCAAGTGTCAATTTACAACAACTGCAAAACAAGTTTTTCCAACTTACATTAATCACTCTTGTTGGCCTGGGTGAAAGCACACAAGGGGTCTTTTTAATTACTGTGGGAAGAAACCTGAGTACTCCGGGAAAACCTACCTAGTTGGGCTGGTGACTCCTTACCTTTAATTTTCCAGTCCTTTTCAAGAATCGAACCCCAGACGCCGAGGTGAAAGACAAGTGTGTTACCTCTGCTCCACCTGGTCTGAGAATCAATTAAGGATGACTAATGCATACTAGGTCATTTATTTCAAGTAGTTTTACTGTTCCAGTGATGAATAATACTCCACTAACTTACTGTTCACATGAAACAGGAGTGAAGACAAATCCATGGTTTGCATAGTAATATAAATATCAAGATTTTTTTTTCAGTAAACTCACCCATTTTTGTGGGGAATATCTTTAATATAAAGTATGTGAAGATTGACGATACGAGGTGGTACTTATTTGGAAGGACTGTTTACACAGGACAAACAATCATACGGAGTATGTCTGTCTACACACTTAGATAAATGAAGATTTTATTAATGAATGTGGTTACTATCTAAGTATTTCAAACAATCTGATATTGAAACATTTAAAAAGATATAGGTAAAGTCCTAATTATGGTTCAGAACAGTTTAAAACAAACAATAATTTATTACAAGTATAGAATTTGATAAATATTTGAAATATTTCCTAGCATTTGAAATTGTTTGTTGAAACATTAGATGTACTGTTAGTATGTGGGATATTACACATTAATGCCAGATTTTGTGATTTATGTCTGACCTGTGGATCTGCCAGAGGTGATACGATTTGTTCAGGATAAACCTTCAGTGGCAAAAGCGTGGCCGTGTTTGATGTGGTGGCAGGTGGTGGCCAGGGAGTGCGTATGTTACTGCAACAGATGCCTACTGCACATGTGCTGGTGAGGCCATTAGCCACAAAACCCGGTAATCTGGCTCTCAGATATCTTCTGTTGTAAAATTTCTGTGAAATTAAGTTCATTCATTAACAGGTATTTAATCTGTATATAATCTGAAGGTTTTCACTGCAGTGTCATGGCTCTCAATAAGCATCCCAGACATTGACATCAGACAAAACAACCTGACCTTTAACAAAGATAAATCATTTGGAATAAATAACCTGAACCATGATCTAAGACTACGAAAAATCCGACCTTGACATGTGAAAATAATTACCTTACCTAAGATAAAGTTATCTTTATAGATAATAGGTATATAACATGACCTTGACCTAGAAACTGATAAACTTGACCTTGATACTAAGTGATGCTGACCTTGATATACTGAGCTTTAATCATAATTAATTGGACCCTGATATATCTGAAAAATTATTCAACCTTTAGAGTTTGAATTTGACCTTGATCAACCTGATCATATTGATCTTTAATTGATGTCATTTGACATCGGCATTACTCAAGGTCGTATTGGAAGCATCCGTTATGAAAGTATTGTTAAGTCTTCTCAGATTTTTCTTTCTAAAAACAAACTGTTTGATTTTCTGTGCTTTGAGAAAATAGGGATATAAAGTTGATTGCTGTGTAAATTCTCATCATAGAATTTGCACGTCGTGTGGTATAACGTACATGATGTTGTGTTCTACAGGTGTAATGTTACATAGTGTGACCTATATACTACAGTGATTTACAGGTATGTAGACAGGTGACATATATATGCCACTAATTACACTCGTGACTGTAACTCTACACACCAGTATCATACTGTCTAATTGATCTTGTGAAGAAATATACCTTCTGAAATAAAAACAGGTGAAATAGCATAGAAAGCATGAATATGATACAAAACAGAAGGAAAAATTGCACAAAACAATCATAAAAATTTTGTTTGGAACATTTTGGATTATTTATAAATAAATTTATGTGTGTTTAAGTTAATGGTAGCTTTATTTTGTGTACCTATCTGTGTGTACTGTTCTGATCTCGCAGATAGCCCCAAACCAGCCCTCAAGTCTATCAAACTTTGCTGTATAACTAGCTGTGTGCATACCTTGTACACTACAGAACCCTGTCTGATAGTATAAAATCTGGCCTCGCCTCTTAAGTGTTGTATATAGTATATTTTTTTTCCCTGTGATCCTGTTTCTACTAGAGAAGTCTATAATACTCAACAGTAGGGATGTGTTCAGCTGTGTATAATGCACTTGACCACGGGCTATCAACTACAGGACTGACCCCTGGCACCGCCTACAATCCCGACCCCCTCCGACTGTCAATGACTCAGGGTCGGAGGCCCCAGCAGGTATACACAGGAGTTCCGGATGTGATTCCCACATCACTGTCAGGAGGCTCCATGCATACCAAGGTAACGTAATAGTGTGTACTTTTCATTCACAGGTCTGGATGTTTGTGGGGGTATATACTTAACACGCATCCCTTGTGACCTTTACGTGGTCAGTCATCCATGCAGATCTACCTGTCACCAAACCTGTTCAACAGCATTCCCTCTCATTAAAGATATCGTCTACCCATTCATGAACGACTGGATGAGAATTGAAAAGCTTGAATAAATATGTTATGCCTACCTACAACACTGCACATGTATGAACATGTATATGGTCTTTAAAAAACGTGTTTCTTTTGGTTAAGATTACCAGCACTGTATTAGATGCTCAGAGCAACACTGAGAAATGTGAAAAAACTTCTTTAAAAATAGCAACAGAATACAAGTTTTTTATAAATATCTGTGACCTTTGACATTTGATTTTAAACAGCATTGACTTGTGGCAGTTGACCTTAAATGACTTTTGACTTTTTTCTTCGAATATTTCCCTTGTGATTTGACCTCTAGAATAGTGTCATGTGTCAGGTGATCAGACAGAAGAGGTGGTCATTATCCCTGTAGTCATTGAACATTAACTGACCAATGTCCTTATGTCACAGACAGGAATGACCATATTAACATCTAACACACTTGACAAGGATTATTTTTCCTCCAGCAATTTTTCGATTGGCCTGGTTCAAATGAGGTTATTCTTGGGTTGTCACTCAATCTACCAATCTTACATGCCCACATCAGATGCTGCTGGTGTGTTTCCACAATAGCTTTAGATCAGCCTCATTCTGGGAATGTATTCAACCCTGTCCCACAATGGGATTTGTACTTGGAATAGACACTTATGGAGAGTATACACCAAAATCAACAAAAAAATACCAGCATGTGAACATAATTATAATTTAAACTCGCATTCATTAAAACTAGAGCAAGTGTCCCAGAGGAGTAAGTATTTTCTACTTTGTTGAAACACACTGTACACCCAAACCCAGAGCTGTGTTCAACCTTGTCATATAATTCAGCTCTGTCCTTAATAGAAACTTGGAGACTGAGTACACACCAAACGCAGGGATGTGTTCAACCTTGTCACATAATACAGCTCTGTCCTTAATAGAAACTTGGAGACAGAGTACACACCAAACCCAGGGATGTGTTCAACCTTGTCACATAATACAGCTCTGTCCTTAATAGAAACTTGGAGACAGAGTACACACCAAACCCAGAGATGTGTTCAACCTTGTCACACATAACACCTCTGTCCATGATAGAAACTTGGAGAGTACATTCCAAACCAAGAGATGTGGACAATCCTCTTACACATGGGGATCTGTCTTTGAAGAAACTTATATAGAATACACACCAAACCCAGGGAGGTGTTCAACCTTGTCACACTAAGGGATCTGTCCATGACAAAGACTAAGACAGGGTACACAACAAACCAATAGATGTTTTCAACTCCATTACAAAAGGGAGTCTTTCCAATGTCAGAGTTTTAAGACAAAAGAACAGTAGATGTTTAACACTGTAACTGAAATAAACAGAGCAGATCTATGAAATACTGTAATTTACTAAAATAGAAAAAGAAAATCCAACACATGATTGTAGTTAAGTGTTCGTTAAAGTACATTGTTGAATCATGTGTTTTCACAGGGCTCAATCTGTGTGGATTATATTCCAAAATTTGTGTAAGATTGGTTTGTGTGTAAAAATATTATTCAATAAATATAATTGTAACAATTTTAATAGTTTGTGGACACATCAATTTGTGAAATGCATGTACACATCAATTTGATGAACATGGATTCCCCCATGAAAAGGAACGATTTTACGGTACATAACACTGGCTCTGATCAGTTAGCTATGAATCTGACCAATATATATATTGATAAATTCTGTAGTTATAATGAATATAGATAAATTTTCAGCTAATTTGTCTCAAGGCACAGATTTCTGTAGATCAATGAATGTGCATTGTCTGGTGGTCTGTTGTGAATCTTGATAGCACATTAGAACATGCTTGTGCTAAGTAAGTTAATTGTCAAGAGTGCTGCCTGAGAGATTTCTCAAATTATCTCAGTTGGTTCTGGTAATTGATGAAATCTAGTGTATCTTAGAACTGTACATCCCTCACAACTCTGATTCCATGGTTGTAGGCATCAGTGAGGGATTATATGGGGAACAATGATATTTCAAGGCAGTAAATACAATGATATACACAATTTTGAAACAAGACTTAAACCACCTTATATCAATCACTCTTTATCGCCTTGGTAAAGTGCCGATAAAGTCTTTTTGTGGCAAGAAAACCATGCAGACTCCATAGGGGTTTTTAGAACCCATGTGGTGTGGCAGGTAACCCATCCCTTTTTCTGTCTGATTGGGGAGTTTCTTCACTGAAAGAGGAGTAGATTCCTTACCATTGCATCACCCGACCACCCACTGTAAGGTGCCGTCATGATCAAATACATATTAATTTTGTATACATTTTTCACAGTGTCAGGTATAACGAAAAGACAAAAAATGTTGTGATATATATGTTTCTTATTAAATCATCTTGAGATTTCTATAAATAACAAATAATAAAGATGGATGACTTTACAAGAGAACAAATGTGAAATAAAAAACAGAAATTTGATCCACACTGACTAGTTCTGATAGGATGACATAAAAATACTGATAAATCTGAGAAATAAACAACATTATGGTAGAGACACAACAGCTTAGTTACAGGTAGGTCTAGAATCTGCAATAAGAAAGAAATGAAATTATAAACAAAGTGGAGATAATATATTAGACAAATGCAGATTTAACAAATAATCCAGGGGTCAGGGGTCAGGGGTCAGTGACCAGTATTCTTAAAAGATACTAGTCATAAGTATTTTCAAAGCAATATATTAGCACATTAAGTTTGAAAAAATGTTTCAAAAGATTTACATAGTGACTTTGCTTTATGGTAGTAGATTGATTGTGCCCTACTCATTGGAGGATGTGAGGTTGTGTATGTGTGTTGGGGAGACGGGGGAGGAAGCGGAGATAGCATTACCCATGTTGGTCCATCACATCTTGTACAGAATCAATGTCATTAAGTTGAAAACCACTTGACAGACTTTGTTGCCCAATAGTATCATAAAATCAAGTTCTACACCTGATCAGATTCTGGTTTGAATCCTAGGATTTTGGTTTCCATGTTCTATAGACATTTTCTAGTTGAAAGAAATTGGCCTCCTTTTACTCTGGAATCACACCTGCATTGTATGATGGCTAGTAGATTTCAAACACCTGTATAGATAAGTACTGATTTACTATCTAGGATAGCCATTATGTGGACATTACACACTATACTGGCACAGGAAGGAACGACAGAGGGGGAATGTATAATAGGAAGGTGAACCAAATGATATTGAGGGGTAAACGGATCATGTGGAGGTAGAAACCGACCATGAGGAAAATCATACAAACAGGCTGTTTTGTGTTAGTTATTTACAGGAATCTTTCTGGTAGCACCATTTATAAAAGAATATTTGAGAACTCAAAAAACAAAACATACAACCCCACCACCAAAACACTAAAACATACAACCCCACCACCAAACACCAACACCTACAACCCCACCACCAAACACCAACACATACAACCCCACCACCAAACACCAACACATACAACCCCACCACCAAACACCAACACATACAACCCCACCACCAAACACCAACACATACAACCCCACCACCAAACACCAACACATACAACCCCACCACCAAACACCAACACATACAACCCCACCACCAAACACCAACACATACAACCCCACCACCAAACACCAAAACATACAACCCCACCACCAAACACCAACACATACAACCCCACCACCAAACACCAACACATACAACCCCACCACCAAACACCAACACATACAACCCCACCACCAAACACCAACACATACAACCCCACCACCAAACACCAACACATACAACCCCACCACCAAACACCAACACATACAACCCCACCACCAAACACCAACACATACATACAACCCCACCACCAAACACCAACACATACAACCCCACCACCAAACACCAACACATACAACCCCACCACCAAACACCAACACATACAACCCCACCACCAAACACCAACACATACAACCCCACCACCAAACACCAACACATACAACCCCACCACCAAACACCAACACATACAACCCCACCACCAAACACCAACACATACAACCCCACCACCGAACACCAACACATACAACCCCACCACCGAACACCAACACATACAACCCCACCACCGAACACCAACACATACAACCCCACCACCGAACACCAACACATACAACCCCACCACCGAACACCAACACATACAACCCCACCACCGAACACCAACACATACAACCCCACCACCGAACACCAACACATACAACCCCACCACCGAACACCAACACATACAACCCCACCACCGAACACCAACACATACAACCCCACCACCGAACACCAACACATACAACCCCACCACCAAACACCAACACATACAACCCCACCACCAAACACCAACACCTACAACCCCACCACCAAACACCAACACCTACAACCCCACCACCAAACACCAACACATACAACCCCACCACCAAACACCAACACATACAACCCCACCACCAAACACCAACACATACAACCCCACCACCAAACACCAACACATACAACCCCACCACCAAACACCAACACATACAACCCCACCACCAAACACCAACACATACAACCCCACCACCAAACACCAACGCATACAACCCCACCACCAAACACCAACGCATACAACCCCACCACCAAACACCAACGCATACAACCCCACCACCAAACACCAACGCATACAACCCAACAACCAAACACCAAAACATACAACCCCACCACCAAACACCAACACATACAACCCCACCACCAAACACCAACACATACAACCCCACCACCAAACCATCCAACCCCACCACCAAACACCAACACATACAACCCATCAACCAAACACCAAAATGATAACCCAACCCCTCCATGCCTCCTGACTAATTAACTCCTCTGCCGTGCACTCTAAACTCTATTTCCCTTCTACATAAAAAAACATGCATTTTCACATGTACAGCTGCAAAGTCTTTGTAGGACAAAAATTGAACCGGAGTAAATGGAAATTGTTGCCGAGTGCTTGGTGTGGTACACATGCCACAGATGCTGTGTACTTAATGATGATTGAGATACAAGATTGATGGCTGTTGCAATTATTACACACAGTTTATAGACAGTTGCTTTGGAACAATAATCATCACATTGATAATACTCTTTGAGATTATGTCATTATCATGATATGGAAAATGATTTCCATATTAATTTGGAACACTGAAACTATGATGGACCATTAAAAGTGAGTAAGTGGTGTGTTTTTAATACATATCAGACCTGTTGATGTTCTATCAATGTTACACCAGCTGATACGTGCTATTGGCCTTGAACAATCTTTTGCTATGTTAATCGTCTTTCTGTAATTGATAAGTTTAATGATTTAATTTAACTAATAAAAAAATGATTTACCTCCAGATGTTTTTGTCATCTCTTTTTCAATACACTCCATATAATGAATCTTAACTAATATTCTCTCCTGTAATACTGACTATCAGTATGATCTATCAAAAGACTTTCCCTCATTTTTCTGCCAGTTATTGACTTAATCATTTAGAAAACTGACTTTCCCTCTATATAACGACAGTTATTAACAGTATGATCAAAACTAATTCCTCCATACCACCGTCAATTAGTGATGTTTTATTGACCTATTTGAGTGACCTTCACTGTTCTCTACCAGTTGACAATACTGATCAATCAGGATAACTATCACTCTATACACTACCAACAGCATTGTCAGAATTCTCTTCCCTCCATAAACTGCCCAAATAGCAACACTTAGATTTATTAGAGTTGTTTCCCTTTTCTAATTTTTCACTTTGACCTTTTGACCTGTTCCAGAAATTTGATATTAAGGCACAAGATATATATGTATCTGATCTCTGACAAAAAGAAATTAAATTGGAAGATGCTTACTGCCAATATCCAGTTTATTACCTATTGTGTTTGTTAAGGAGTTAACACTATCTTTGGTTCAAGACGATATCAAGTTTCACGTTCCTAGTTAACATTTTACTGCCTGAACTTATCAGGAGAATGGAGACCGAAGGTGTTTATGGCTCCAGAGACCTGTCATCATCCAAACGCAATCAACTGAATAAATTTTTCCAATCTGGACTATAAACTATTGGCAGTGTGCTAAAGTGATAAAAATGCCATTTTCTTCGATCCCAGTTTGAATACACTTGATATTAGGTGCGTCATATAGGCCACAGGGTTTCAATAGCACTATTATTCAGGCTAAATCCACAGGTTTTTTAATGGCTGGTTACCAATCCACGTTAATCATGAATTCATCATTGGACGATTAAAATGTGTGTGAAATATTTTCAAGCCTGTTACCCGAACTGGAGACATATGTATCCTGTTTGTGTTAAGGTAGATTTATCGGGGTCCCGACTAGGCTGAGGTATTGAATTTTTGCTGTCCTACCTAGATTTACCTGTGGCTGTAAAACCTCTGGATTCCCTTTAGTATCAGATGTGTCCTACTCCACATTAGCTTGCCATGCTTAACATATAAATTATCCCCAACAGACACAACATTTTTTTTAGATGTCATTGTCTGTGTTGTATCGTCATCTCCCGAGGACATGCCATATTAATTAATGAAAATATCCCAATGATGTTTTGTTACATTTTTTTTAGATCTACAGTTGTTCATAGATATATAAACAAAATTACTGTGACTTCTAATAATGGTAGGGTTGGGGTAGGGTCGGATGTGGGTGGGGGGTTTGGGGAGGAAGGAAGGGGACACCATAGATGTTTGGGAGATTTTTTAATCAATGAAGTGGCTATATTTGTTGAAAATTTGGAAAACTAGAAACACTAGTCAAACCTCATTATACTGCTATCATTTGTGTAAGTATCAGCATTATAAGGCAATTCTGTAACATTTTTCAAAAAGAAATTATACAAGTATTTATATAGCATTTCATATTGAGAAAAATTATCATGCATATGATGTGATGTGTATTTTATCATTTGACTGTCTACTGAAGAGTCATTTTAAGAGGTTTGTAACTTTGTGATGATATTTTGTATAGATTTTCTGCTTGTTTTCAATCCATATTTACAATTAGTTATTTGTTAAGACAGACAATAGGAGTTTTTCTACAGACTACATACCAAGGATATAAATGCCGTGTTCAAGGACACAGTAAAATTCTTCAATCTGTGAAATCTACAGTCATTGACCTTCTGTTGAAGCTATTCCTGAAAAACAAAAGAGAAATTATTCAGCAAAATGTAAATGAAGGCCTTGAAATAATTTCGCAGAGATTAAAGCATCTGATATAGTTTGAATAAGGGACAATATATCAAATTTTAATATTTTAAGAAAATTTTCTAAATGAAATTAAAATCCGCTAGTATTCTGTATAATTCTACAACACCAATACGTATGGTAATTTTGTTCAATTGATTTCCGGAAGATCCATATCCTAGGTTTAAACTTGCTGGAAGACAGACAGCTGTTGCTTGTGCTTTCATTGGAGTTCCTGTTTATTGATCTGATATTCCCTTTAGGTGTAGTAAAAAAAAAATGGTGTATTGATTCGTAGGTCAGATGTCATTGCCATTTACGTAATAAGTGAGAACGAGGCACAACATCCTCTGAGCGGCTGAAAGCACTTAGCCACAAAAAATTTCTGAATTTGATGTTGTTTTATGGGTTAAAATTTCCTTAGATTTTTTGTTCTTCCTGTGGTAGGAGATCAATCTAATTCATTAAGACAATGGAGTCTGGCCTTGTAGCCTTATTGTCAGTACTATAGGTAAACTGCTTCCTCAAATAGTCGCTTCACTGTGGGGACGGATCAGATGACTTTAAAGTACACTGCATGCCCATTAATTGACCAAGTGAAGGTGGTGACATTTTAAACAGAAAAGTACACCCTGAATTATTCAATGAAGACGTAAAAAACTGAGGCCAGAACACAAACCAAATAAATGTATTGGAGACAGATGTTAGGGAATCTTTTCAACAAAAAAATCATCTGTATTAGCCACTAACTAGGTTAGATGTTTTCATTCTATCACTGGATTAACATGTTTTCATATCCTTTATATCTCAATGTCCATGTCTATTGAAATAGTTTAATGTCATTGATGGTTGAAATAGTTTGGTGTCGGTAATGGTTGAAATAGTTTGGTGTCAGTAATTGTTGATACAGTTTGGAGTCAGTGATGGTTGAAGTAGTTTGGTGTCAGTAATGGTTGAAATAGTTTGGTGTCAGTAATGGTTGAAATAGTTTGGTGTCAGTAATGGTTGAAATAGTTTGGTGTCAGTAATGGTTGAAATAGTTTGGTGTCAGTAATGGTTGAAATAGTTTGGTGTCAGTAATGGTTGAAATAGTTTGGTGTCAGTAATGGTTGAAATAGTTTGGTGTCAGTAATGGTTTAAATAGTTTGGTGTCAGTAATGGTTGAAATAGTTTGGTGACTGTAATGGTTGAAACCATGTTTTATATCAGTATCAGTGCTTACTGAAACAGTATGGTGTCAATGCTAGTTACAGTAGCTTGCGTTGATGTCAGTGTTTGTTGAAAAAGTTTTGTATTGGTGATTAATTAAAACATTTTGATGTTGGCTAGTGCTTGTCTGCAGATGTTATTTAGGGTTGTATTTTTTCTTTGAAAAGATTTGAAATTAATTATATGAGAAATTTTACTGCGAACTAGAAGATGTTTGCTGGTGGGATTTTTTTTCCTCTTGTTTAGCAGTTAAATCCTTGTTAACAAGGTGTAAATCACAAGATAAACACGACAGTAAAAAATTCGCCATAGTGATAAATGTATCATATAAACAGCGGAGATCTGGTGCAAGAATGTACATGTAATTCTGTGCAACTGCCAGATACTACAACATACAGAATATATACCACAGGGATTCTGGCTCCACCGGATGGGATGTCAAGAGATCAAACAAATAAACAGGGCCTATTATAACAAAAAATAGGAGGGAGGGACCATAAAGAAGTCATTCAGCAGGTGTAGATGATGGCAAAAACATCCTAAATTATCCACTTGGCATTTTGTTTTAACTTCATCGTAAAACTTCATTTGATTTTTATTGATTTTTTTTAAATGATCTTCATTTAGTAGTTAGTCTTCAAACGTCATCTGTAGATACACCGAAAACTTAAATAAATTTCTACAAAACGTTTCAGATGAATATTGACTTCTCATACAGAGTCATGGTAAACAAAAATATCAGCTGATCATGAACAAAGTTCAAAATGTCCTCTTTTTTATGAGGGATATGATAATGGAACAGGCACTGCTTACATCAATTGTTTGATGTCGAAATCAATAAAATTGTTTGTCAATGAGGTATAGGGAGGATGCATCTGACAAGTACACAACATGCAGTAATGTGGCTTCATACAATGTTGCACATGAGCGATTACACAGAATGTTGTGACGGTATTTAGATTCCAATCATGCATGCAGCAGGCTTGGTTGTATTTATATCCTGGTTAACGATGCATTAAAAAAAACCTGGTTTACACAGAATCCTAAACGATGGTGAATGAGTCTTTGATCTGCTGTTTAGTACACAGCTGTCAGTCAATCTACCCGATAACAAGGCAAGAAAATTGATTTGATTGTTTAATCAAATATTAATCTCAGAGTTTGGAAGCCATAAAGATATGGAAATCAAGCTATGGAGTATCTTGTAGGTTTGTTTTTATGAGAAATGTTAACTATCTGGTTAACATTAGATGTGGATGGTTGATCCTGAAGTCCAGTACAATATCATTTCAGTTATACCTTAATGTGGTCCGAGACTATGTAAAGTCCAAATGTAAGTTGATTCACTTTGGTTTGAGTTATGGAGGTATGTTTTTGTTAACAGGTTTGGTAGTTTGTTTCATAGTTATTGATTGGTGTTCGATTCTGATCTGTATCACCAGGGTTGGTGTATCATAAGACCTTCTGTATCCTAAACATATAAGGTTTGGAATTCTTCATCAGTAAAACCTGTTTGATAGGTCACTTGTAGAGACCAGACAGTCAACTGAGTTCTTATCATCTGATCTACCAATAAGCCCATGTCTGTTAATAAGCCCACCTTTGTATATTGCTTTGAAGCACCAGCAACTGCTTTTTTTTTAGTGGTACTTCGTCATAACTTCATAATACATTTATTCACTGTCATCCATTGAACAAGTGCCATTCTGTAATAAGCCCACCCTTGACTTACAAAAATAAATATATAGTGTAGTGTATAGGGAGTGTGACATGCAATTGTGTTCGTTGTAAGGACCTATGGCATTCGTCAGCCAAAAGAATTATCATGACACCTAAATTTACACCACAGCTCCAAATCTAACTTTATAACTTTGTATTTGTTATATGTTCTATGTGTATTATGTAATTTATGTAATATTTGTGTCTTGATAAAGGGGCAGATTGCCTCGAAAATTTGACAATTCACATGTCCCTACTGTCATTTTTACTTCATTGATCATATATTTATTACTTTACAATAATTTCTAAGCAAGCTATCAGCTTACATTAATCTCTCTTGTTGACCCAGGTGGAAACCAAAGCACTAGGGACAAAACCCCATGTGTTCGGGCAGGTGACCCATACCTTTTTTATGTCTGTTGCAGGAATTGAACCCTGGATGGAAAGACAGGGGTGTTACCACTGTGCCACCTGACTACCATCTTATCTTGATTTGTTTGCTAAACTTTCTCTATTAAGATCAAACTTATATAGTATATGCCTCTGTGTAATCCAGACATTTTGCTATCAGGTCGTAGAGAACACTGTCTGAGCAGACATATGATCTGTGTTTATTAATTTATAACAGGATATTGGTATGATAGGGTTTTAAAACGAGTCATTTCACATGAATGTCTTGGAATGGATGGAATTCTATCCTAACATGGACTAATTGCCTGATTTGCAGATGAAACTTAATTGATTTGTGTTTGGCTGTGACCTTGTGTTGGTTTCCAGCATCAGAAACAGATTAAGTGATAGCCTAATTTTATGTGAAATCCTTATAAGGGTATTCCTGTTAGTCTTGTTGGTATTTACATCTCCTACAATCATTTCTGTTCCTTTGGCATGATTTAAATACCAGTATTTTTTTGGATTCATTATGCACTCATGCACTGATAAAATTTCATTTTGAATATCAGCCCTGTATTGAACCTAGGCAAATAAAGCAGACTCTATTTTGGATAGCTGCGGTAAAAAAACAAGTAATCGTGTTCGTTCAAGGTTTTCCCAAGATCCTTTTAAGAACCTGCATAATGTCAGTATGTTGATTAACTAGTGGTTTGAGTGTATAAAAATCTTAATACTGTCAAAATGGCTGCACTTAACAGAGTTGTCTCTCCTGATTTATTTCAAATTCCTAATTTAGTGTTTTCATTACTCTAGTAATGACTGTTGGAGGTATTATTGTTGGTGATCGTGTTCCTATTGATCCCGATGTTAGCCTCCCTTTTCTTTGTCACTTGCACTTAAATAAATAATTTGAAATTTTACAGAAATAAAAAAAGATCATGTCGCTAGAAAATTCTGTTTTCACATTGAGCTGAAAAAGTAATTATTGGAATAAAATTATCTCTGTTTGACTTTGTCATAGTCACTGCAGGGCTCGGTGGCGTGCATGTCAGGATGAGGCTTGTCTCAGTGGCGATTTTTGTTCATCATAAGAGCCTCACCCTGGAGCCAGTGTTCAATTTCTGCACAGACATAGATTGTCAAGTTTTTGAGAACAATTAACTTTTGGGAAAATCATGTCCTGGCTAAAAAGAGAAATGGCTTCAGGGGCTGATTTCAGCATGAGAAACAGGATTGATCACGATTCTCTTTTCGAACATTAATATTTTTTCACTTTTTTGTTTTTAAGGAGTAATGTAATCGGCATGTGGAAAATCTAATCTTCAAAAACTAGAAACAAGATCGGATAAAGTTTCTTTTTCTTTTGTAAGTCGATAATGTATCATTCTTCTTACAACCTTGCATGTTTGATGGTGTTTCAACCATTAAACAATTAGATTTAAAGAATGGAATTAAACAGATAATTACTGGAATGTGCTGATTAAAGATGGATCTCATTTACAGGCAAAATTGATTTAGATGATAATTGAGGTCAGAGTTCAAATGATATTCGATCAATGAAAACTTAGAATTTGATAATGAAAATTTGATTGGAGAGCTCTATAGTCTATTAGCTAATTGAATCAATTGTTTCTGGCTGTAACAGGATTGGTAAAAATTGATTGATCTGGTTTTTAGAATCCAGTTATGTTATCAAATCTCACTGTCTTTAGAATCCATGATTTAATCAGTGCAAAGTTTGATAATCTGTTTCATTATGCATCCCGTAATTTTTAAAGGGAAGATTTGGAAAGAGGGGGTTGGAGGTGTTAAGGGTTGGGGTGGGGGGGTTGTCATTATAGCATTAATCTTGCCCTTCAGACTTACTTGACCACTTGTTATGAAAGGTCATTTGTCATGGTTGGTTGGTTGAAAGGTTTTCCGTCCTTGCGACTCCTCCCGTGTCCAGTATCATCTCGCTGATGGACGCCAGTGTTCTGGCAACGTTTTATCTGTCATAAGTGAGCACCAATCATAAGAGACATTCTGTTACATCAGATCACCTGTCTTAGGTGATCACATCAAGAAAGACCACCTGTCATAAGTGATCACCTTTCATTTGAGTCCTCCTGTCACAAATGATCATCAGTAATGAATGATTTTTACTCGTCTTAAGTGATCATTTCATAAGAGACCACCTGTCATAAGAGACCACCTGTCATAAGTGACAACCTGTCATTAGTGACCACCTGTCATAGGAGACCACCTGTCATAAGTGACAACCTGTCATTAGTGACCACATGTCATAGGAGACCACCTGTCATAAGTGACAACCTGTCATTAGTGATCACCTGTCATAGGAGACCACCTGTCATAAGTGACAGCATGTCATGAGAGACCACTTGTCATTAGTGACAACCTGTCATAGGGGACCACCTGTCATGTAAGAACACCTTTCATAAGTGAAAACCTGACATCAGAGACCACCTACTGATCAATATTGATGCATAACGATCAGTCTTAAGTGTCCTCCTATGAATAGGGACCACATGTTGTTACAGATCAGAATAAAAAAATTAATTACAAAATTCATATAAATGTAGAAACTTAAATGGCAAAAAAAAAAAAAAAAACCCAGAAAATTAACTTAGCTAGTATGTCGGGGGAAAAAGGATCAAATATTGAAATCTGAAGTCTGAAGATTTTGTTCTTGTAGTTACTATGATGAATCTTCTGCGGTCTTATATCCTAACAGTTTGGGTAACAGCTAGCTATACATATAGTCTGTGTGCCATTAATCTTCATAGTTTTTGGCCAGGGTCTATATGCAATGACTTCTACAAGGCACATCATGTCAGGCCACGTTACTCCATGTCGCCACAATATGTCCGTGGCAATACTCACTAACAATAAATGATGGGCGATTAGTGAAATATCAAACCACGGAAACCGAGCTGTGGTCACCCTAGAGACATTCAATTCTCTAAAAATGTTTACCCCTTGGAGAATTTCAATCCTTTCCATCGATCCAGATATGTAGAAAAAAAGCAGGATGAGACAAGGCTGTTAGTACAAATTGGTGCTAATGATTTTTGAGCCATCTCCAACAGGTCTGCTGTCGTGGTTCTATATAGGTCTGTAATTGACGTTCCCTGTCACAGAATCGAACACTTTTAACACATATAGCTCTATTCTAACCATGCTGATCTATAATAAACCACGTTATCATTTATGCAACCGTTTTCCTAAATGCTTGGATCTATGTTAAATGACATTTATCGGAATGTCTAAATCTGATAAAACGTTTCCGTATTTGACATTCTTGCCCAATTCACTCTGACTCGGAAGTCCTAGCTGGTATTGTCAGTAGCTGCTGCTGTATTCTCTGGTTCTACAGTCAAATGCAGACAATATACGAGTGAGTCGCTGCAGGCGTTGAATACTTGACGTTTCAGATCTTGTAGTAGGAAAGCACCATATATTCTTGTATTGCTACTTTGTGCATATTATAAATTAACTCTCCCAGCAGGACGGGATTTCACCCTAACCTTAACCACGGTAAGCCATGTCTATTAAGTTGTTTTATATGAGATACTCTGGTCGTGTTTGTAATTATAAACGGCACCTTGTGTTCCTATTTATCTGTCTAATTGTATCATCTAACTGTAGGTATCCTGTCGAATATAACTGCTTTTTTATCTTAGTTTTTGTGAAGAAATACTCTGCATGCTTTAGACTTGTACATTCTGAGATTAAAAATTTCAATGCAAAGAGTAGATTTCTATATTTAGATTTAAAAGATCAAGGTCAATGTCATTTTCAAGGTTATTGCATTTGTTTCTGCTTGTGTGTGTATATATGTTTAACAATGGCAGTCCTGATTTGAAGGATGCCGACTGTTCTAACATTCCTGTAGTTCTGAGTGGTGTGGGAGAAGTCCGATTCTCTAGCTCCTGTTAATGGTTTCTTTCATTAGCATGGTGGGAACATTTTGTAATCTGCATATCTGTATAACTATTGGTGTTTTGGAATGTCTGTGTGTATGTGAAGATGTTAATAACGATATATATACTGACGCCTCAACATGAAATTATGGCCATGATATAGCCTACTAAAAATGCACGCTATAATGACAAGCTTTGATGGCATGTTTGTAAGATGAATGTACTTTTATTTAAATGACTTCGTCTTGCTGTTGAAATAGAAATGATTTCATAGAAGTTTTGAAGTTCCTATACCTAAATAATTTGAAAGCAACAGTTTTTTTTTTTTTTTTTTGCTAAGTATATGCGTTTGTAGATAAATGTGTTACTGGTCTCAGTTTCTGCTGGTGGTCAGAGTGTGTGTGATTGTATCAAAATTTGGTTAAGAATATTAATGAAACATATCTCGTAGGGGAGAATTGGTTAAGTTTATAGACAGTCAAACTTTGTAGCAGAACTTTAAATTAAGCAATACATCTGTATAATGATAGAGGAAATAGCTGTCACAGTTGTTTTTTTGGCCAGGCATTTAAGCAGGGTGTAATGTGTGATATTTAAAACAATTTGGTACAAACCTTTCCTTTACATGTTATTTATTTTCGAAAATTTCATAGTTGAAACAGTTAGCAAAAATGATTGCCGCAAATTAAGACAAGGATGATAAACAACAATTACAGTGTAATGTATTCTGTGTCCATGAAAGCTAGTTCCCGAGAATTGTTGCGACGCAAAAATTGTGAACGTTAGAAGCCACAGTATAATTTTAATATGTTTCTGTCGTAATGAAGCGCAGTAATTTATAACGATAATAGCAATAAACGTCATTTCAGAAATGATTGGGTCACTTTCATTTCAGCAAGCATTCAGCAGGTTTATTCTTATCAGTCTGACCAAAATTCCTTAATTCTATGTCCTCTCTAATAACACCAAACAGAAGACAGAGTTTGATAGTAGACAAATCCTTAATTAGATTATATAAACCGCAAATGGTTTGTTTTCAAAGTCATAAATAGAGGTTTATGGTCAAGTTGGTGTACCGATGTATTAAACAAATGACAAGGTCATTGTTGAAGGTCACATATCACAACTTCTGCCTCATTTTCTACTTTTTCCAAGTGTTTTATGTGTCTGTGCCCGTATTTCGCACCTTTGTAAAGTTCAGGTCAACTTCAGTCTCTTTTTGCTGCCATAATGAAATTATCAAGAGAAATTCTGAGTTTAGAGCTATAAATGGTGGTCACTTTCAAGGATCATATGTCACCGTTTGACAAAGACTAATAAAATATAAAATTATTTCAACGTAAAATCATTGATGCCTGTATTGATCACTGATATATACGTCAGCTTCAACTGATATCAAGTGGAGCTAGAGCTGAATGTAGTTTCCAAATCCTACATCGTAAAATCCATACCGTATTTAATCTAAAATAATCCTGTGCTTAAAAATAAACCTGCCCACATACATCATTGTTTAATAGAAATAACTAATGCTATTTCATTGTCCTGTAATAAGCCCAGCGTTTTGACTTTTGAGACAAGTTGAGGTAATGTGTTGGCCTCTGGGCTTATTGTTTGGTTTTATTGTTGTGTAAAGGCCTATTAACAGCCAGGGTTATTGAAGTACATGCCAGATTTCGGTGGTGGAGGAAATCAGAGTTCCTGGAGAAAATCCACCGCCCTGCAATCAGTACCTGGCAATGCACCATGTAGGCATCGAACCTGAGACCCCAAGGTCAGAACAGCGACTGTCAGATACCTAGAACACTCAGCCGCTACAGTTTATTGAAGGTTATATACAATAGGAATGCTCTGTCCTATCTCTGAGCTTTCTTTTTCTTTGTGTTGGGACTATTTCTGCTTTAATTCTTAAATACATTTTAATCCTTAACCTCAACGATCATCAATAAAAAGAGTCTTTGGTATACAAGATTAACTTAGCAATCAAAATTTTTTTTTTTTAAAGTTTGGTTGTCATCTACAAAATATCCGAGAGAACTCTGGTTTTAGAAAAACATTATGTTGGTAGATGACTATACAAATAATGAAGGATGGTCTTGAACAAGAAATTCAACAATAGACAAGTTGAAATATCTGCATTTCATTTATGGACGAGAAAACAATTTCTCTATTATAATCCACAGGCAGTTATTATGTTGAAAAATAGAAAATTATGTCTGAATCCCATCCATTTAATAGAAACTGGCAGTAATGAGCAATTAGGATAATTACTGATATAAATAATGGAGCTTGATGGATCTGACTCCTGGACTATGGCAAAAATGTGAAATAATTTTCTAGATCACTGTGTGGATAAGCAGTATTATAACAGGAAAATTGTGATGCACTCTTCATGTAGGAGTCTGGTCTGACAAGATGAGAGGTGGGTGAGGGGATGGGGGTTAAGGGGCAGACTGTTGGAGTGAGGGGTTTGAGAATGGGATGGGGTTAAGGGGCAGACTGTTGGAGTGAGGGGTTTGAGAATGGGATGGGGTTAAGGGGCAGACTGTTGGAGTGAGGGGTTTGAGAATGGGATGGGGTTAAGGGGCAGACTGTTGGAGTGAGGGGTTTGAAAATGGGATGGGGGTTAAGGGGCAGACTGTAGGAGTGAGGAGTTTGAGAATGGGATGGGGATTAAGGGGCAGACTGTAGGAGTGAGGAGTTTGAGAATGGGATGGGGGTTAAGAGGCAGACTGTTGGAGAGAGGGGTTTGAGAATGGGATGGGGGTTAAGGAGCAGACTGTTGTAGTGAGGGGTTTGAGAATGGGACGGAGGTTAAGGGGCAGACTGATGGTTGGTGGAAGATAGATTTAGATTTGAATGGAGAAGTGGGTAGCATGGGTAAAGGAGATTGGATTGGGTGAGGGGTAAATTACTGTTAAGATAGACAGGGCTGGGAACTGCTAGGAGTAAGGATAGGAATGGAACGTCAGAAAAGTCGATAATGATCAATAATAATTAAGGAAAACAACTGTTGGCATAACTAAAGACCAAGACTTGATCAATAAATCTAACATGAAAGGGAAACCCATTTTATTTTTAATGTTTTGTCAAAAAACGATGGGTGCCCATACATCCTTCCTATTCTAAACAAATGAGGCAATTTGATCAAATTATCTGTCATTAAGAAATGTCAGTGTTATGACTGTGTTAAGGCAGTCTGATGTCAACTGAAATGCACTGAGCGCTTATCAACAGTTCCTTATCGTAGATGTCTTAGTATCAGGGCTTTATATGATATTCAATGTATTTTTCTGTATTCAAATCTATCCTTTGAAAGCTTAAAACTGATGATTTGTAAAACGTCTTTTTGAATTATGTTTAAACATTCCATATGTTTATCGGGCATCATATTGTGTCTACAAAGCTGTTAAAAAGTAGTCTACAGAAGAGAGGCATTCCCTGCTATTGAAGGAAGGTTCAAAACAGGACAACTTAGCTAAAAAGGGTTTATTCTCCCGAAAAAAGAAAAAAAAAGATTTTATTAAATAAAATATTTTCACATAAAACCTGTAGGTTTTCAAGTTACCAGCAGACTATGCAGTATATCAACTGTTCCCAGCTCTCAACAACTGACAATAAGGATATTACATTTTGATGCTTAAAATTGACTTCATTGCTTCCAAAGGAAAGCGTTCTCAGTATTCAGAAATAATTTTTAGATCTCTTATCAAATTTGAATGCAATAACTGTTCACAAAAAACATTAAATTTCTACTAGTATTTTAAAGTTTTTATCAAAATCTCCTCTGTTCCTAGGGGAGTCCAAACAGGCATCGTTCCACCTGTATTCTGGTAGTATGTGTTGTTGAATACTGTTAGATATAGATGTATGAGTTCTAACATTAGATTATAGACAATCTCCCAGAAAAGATGTATCACAGAGCTGCATGCTGATGGCATTGTGTCTGCAATTTGTTCTCATCTTTTGGTTCTAGACAAATTATAAAGCTTAGGTGACAGACACACAATGTTAACAGGAACATATTATCCCATTGGAGTTGGAGGAAACAGGTTGACGCATGTAAAATATCTGGATCATGACAAATCAGGGCGTTAAAAAAAATAAAATTGGTAGGAGAAATGGCTTTATAGATGATGGGGAAAAATAAGAGAACTTTTAAGAAGATATATATTGAATTACATGTAGTTATCCAACACTTCATTAAACATAGGAACCTGCTTACAAACAATATATGTAATCTTCCATTACAATGAAAGTACTATCGTTAAGTAGGAAGTACCCTCATTACACAGGAAGTACTGTCTTTACACAGGAACTACTGTCTTTACATAGGAAGTACCGTCATTACACAGGAAGTACTGTCTTTACATAGGAAGTACCGTCATTACACAGGAAGTACCATCATTACACAGGAAGTACTGTCTTTACATAGGAAGTACCGTCATTACACAGGAAGTACTGTCTTTACATAGGCAGTACCATCATTACACAGGAAGTACTGTCATTACACAGGAAGTACCATCTTTACACAGGAAGTACTGTCATTACACAGGAAGTACCATCTTTACACAGGAAGTACTGTCTTTACATAGGAAGTACTGTCTTTACATAGGA